CATTGTATCTTTTATATGTGGCTTTCCTGTCGTGTTTGTTTTGTTGGTTTCGTGTTTGTGTCAATACGCTTTTTTTAATGGGTTGACACGACACGACATGATAAAAAAGAGTAGAAAATGTTAAATACGAATGCGAACCGTTACAATTTATGAATCACACGACATGACCATTTTCACCCATTAAGAAGTAATAAAAAAATATGAAAAATAAAATAATAAATAAATAAATAAAACCACGTACAGAACCACTTCACAGCCCCCCTATTCCTCTTTCTCTCCTCCTTCCCTAATCAATAAACCTCCATTAATGACACAACCAATGCGAGAGAGAAGAACAGAAAGAAAAAAAAAGCTATGTTTGATTTATGAGAAAAATAATGAAAATAGAAGAAACTTACACACAGAGAAAGATAGTGGGAGAGTCAGGGGAATGGGGGAGGAAGAGAAGGAGAAAAATGAAAAAAATAAATTTATAGAAATGCCCTTGAGCTTAACAGGTTAACAAGTATTTACGAATTTACATGACATAGCCCATTAGCTTAACTTATAGCTAACAGGTCAATACTACATCAACACAACACCATAACTTCGTGCTAATTCGCGTCGGATTAATGGGTCGTGTATAATATTGTCACGTCTAAGTCTCCTCAATTTCTTGCTTGCTTCGCTTCAAAATCCCTCACAAACAAAACCAGCGACTTTTTTTTTTTTTTTTCCCTTTTCGTAACTTTTTTCAAAAAAATTTCCCACAGCACAACGCTTCGGAAGCCTATTGTCGTTTCAAAACCAAAACCTCAGACTTCTCAACGCCTCCATCTCTGCCGACAAAGGAGTTCCTCATTATCACGCTGTTGGGTCGCCTGTTGATAGGAATTAGGAGTTAGAGCCAAAACTGTAAAACAGTTTTGGATAGTTAGTTAGCCACGTGTCAAGTGTTAGTTGGGGAATCTGTTACAATTACTGTTGTATCCTTGAAGGTGGCTTTATTACCAATTTGGGGAGCCATTGTACGTATTGTTGAGAAATATACAGAAACATTCTTTGGGTTCTCTCTGTTCTTGGTTAATGTCTAAGGTTGAAAGATAGAGTCCTGTCATTGGTATCAGGTCATTGATCCTCTAAGCTGTTCCTTTAGTATATGACCCGTGCTCGAGTTCGTACTCGTGCGTTAACAATAGATGCTCGTGTTGCTGCGCTGGAAACCT